CCTCCGTTCATCCATCTGTCCGTCCTTCCAACCGTCCGTCCGTTCATCCATCCATCCATCCCTCCATTCATCCTTCCATCCGTCTGTCCGTCCTTCCGTCCGTCCATCCATCTGTCCGTCTTTCCGACTGTCCGTCCGTAGCTGTATCAGGCGTCCTCAAACTTTTTAAAGTGGGGGCCAGATCACGGTCCCTCAGAGAGCTGGAGGGCCGGACTATATGAACTACTAATTCCTACTGTAACACCTCGGCTGCGCTCACTGCCCAAAAAACCTGGCGGCCGGATCAGACTCCTCTGCGGGCGCATGTGGCCCGGGGGCCGTAGTTTGAAGACGCCTGTGTAGATTGTTCTCTGCTTGGGGCTGAAATGAGAGCTCAGAGGCGCTGGGGGCGCTTAGGAACCAGCTGCACCTTCTGCTTCCCAGAGCCCGCCCCTGGCTACATCCTCCCTCTGACCTCTGACCTCTGCCACCCTTTCCACAAGATCTCCATGGGGCTCCTTCGGGGCTCCCTCCTGGGGGTGGGAACCTCGAACCTCGGACTGGACACTCCTCCTCCAGCTCCTTCCCCTGCCCCCCGCCCCCCGCCTCTGCTACACTCAGGCTTGCGTGCTGGTGCCCCCCGACCCTAGGACACTGCACACCCTCAGGGACAGTGTGCCCCCCCCACCCCCCGGGGACCCCGAGTCCCTCTCCGAGCGCCCGCCCCGCCCCACGCAGCAGCAGGCAGAGCTGAGCCTTCAGCGCCTCCCGGGGCACAGCCTCCTGCCGAGATCCTCCTGCCGGTCACGGCTCCAGCCAACGCAGCAGAGACAGGGCTGGGCCCCAGCCTGGGGGAGCAGCAGGTCACCCTAACACTGCCCCCGCCCGCCCCACCACTCCCTTCCTCCGGTGCCCCGTTTGCACAGCCCCCACCTCCCCCCAGGCGCTCCAATCCCAGCAGCACGCCCTCTCCACGCCCGGCACCATCTCCCACCTGGCCCAGCCCGGCAGCACGCCCTCTCCACGCCCGGCGCCATCTCCCACCCGGCCCAGCCCAAGGGGAAGTTCTAAGTCCGGCCAGATCGGAGCCTCCCCGGGGCCCAGGCTCCGCAGTAGCTCCCGGAAGCGGGCCCGCCTCCCAGGCCTCCTGGGGCTCTTTCCTCTCTCCTGAAGCACCCACCTCCTTCAAACAAACAAAGGAGAATGGAGAAAAGAAAGACAGACAAGCGCCCCACCCGGCCGAATTCCTTTTCCCAGCAGCCTGGCCCGCTCTGAAGCTTTAATCCCTTCTGGAAATTGCCCTCCCCCTGTCTGCCCGCCCCCCTAGCATCCCCATCTGTATTCCCCGCCCCTCCTCCGGGTCCCAGCAGCCCTGCAGGTGGCCAGTCATTAAAGAAATGCTCCTGAGGTGGCCTGGGAGCACCTGAGGGTAGGAATTACGGGGCTCTGATCCGCAATGAAGAAGCATTCCTTGAATAAATGGCTGCAAGAACAGGGGTGTTGAGTCCAGAATTAAAGGACCTGCCCACACCCTAGCTGGTTTGGCTCAGTGGATAGAGCCTCACCGGAGGACCGGAAGGTCCTGGGTTTGATTCCAGTCAAGGGCACACACCTGGGTCTCCTGCCCTGGTTGAGGAGGGTGCAGGGGACAGCCAAATATTGTGTCTCTCTCACATCAATGTTTGGTCTCTCCCCCTCCCTTCCACTGGCTCTGAAAATCAATGCACGTGTCCTGAGGAGAGGATTAACAAAAATAGAAGTAAAATAAAGGAGAGGGGAAATTTACAGTCACTCTGTGTGGCCAGACTGTTGTTTCTGGCCCCAGGCCCAGAGGGAGGTGTCCCTTCCAAATCTGCACCACACACAGGAAGTCTGCCATTTATCCGTGCGGAGCCTCTTTGTTCGCAGGGCTGTGTGAGTTACCGGCAGTGGTAACCTTGAATACATAATGAGTTTGTACTTGGCATCATTATCAGTATTAGTCTATTTTATTTCTTTATTAAGGTATCACATATTTGTCCTCAACCCCCCATTCCAACCGCCCTGCCCCCCCACTCATGCCCCCACCCCCCTATTGTCCTTGACCACTGGTTAGGCTCATAAGCATGCACACAAGTCCTTTGGTTGATCTCTCCCTTTTATCCCCTCCCTCCCTCTGAGGTCCAGCAGTCTGACCCATGGCTCCTTCTCTCTGGGTCTGTTCTTGCTCATCAGTCTATGTTGTTCACCGTTTCCCCTGGATGAGTGGGGTCATGTCCTCCTGGAAATATTCTCATAAGAATAAAAATTGAGATAAGCAATCATGGTTATGCTGAAAGGCCTATGTATTAATAGCTGAGTTTCTTTCTGGGCCACCAGTTCTTTTGAGACCCAATAGTATTAATCTATTTTAGTCTATCACATTGGGTGGCTAGCTTGCAAGGTCAGACAGTTAAGTTTACCTTTTTCTATTATTTCAACTAAAAAAAACAAAGTCATTTTACAGTACAACAGACTGTCTTAAAGTGACAGAGTTCATAATGACAGTGTTTACAGTGTCTCTCTGACAATAGCAGAGAGTTTCAGGCAGCAGTTTTTTATACAAGATGGAGGTCACTACGCTTGAAAACCTCGCTTCAAGACTTGCTTCCCATGGCTCTCGGCTGTATCCACAGAAAAATGTCTCTGTTGTCGACTGAAACTTCAGTTTTCCACCTGGCAACCCTCTCAGGACCGAACGCTTCTCTCCAGTAACAAACGAAGGAGAGAATGCCTTTGGTACTGGCAACTTTAAACCACAAAGACCATCAAGAGTGCTAATGTCGCTAAGGACGAGAAAATGCTCACAGAACAGCCACCGAGGGGCATGGATGGGAGAGGCAGAAAAATGGATTGAATAAGCAAAAAGCAGCTGGAGGTGGCACTCAGAGGCAGCGATGTATGCAAAACCCCTTTAAGGGGCGTAGGGAGAGGTCTGATAAATGTAAGAAGTGTTTGTGAATTAAACAGCACATCAGCCGTGTACTGCCTGTAAGGAAGGTTAAATCAGGGCATCATCTAATTCGATGGACATTATTTCCGCTGGGAAAAGAGGTTCTGTTCCGAGCAAACCGCTTCTCGGATTGTGTCTGAGGAAGGAGGCTCCCTGCAGGATGTGTGGATGTCTATCTATCCTTGCTTTGGCTTTTAAGGAGGGGAATCCCTTCTCCAAACAAAAGACACAGGGCGTGGCAGATGGAAAGGCCACGTTTCATTTCAGTGGCCAAGGAGTGGCAGGGAGGAACCAGGAGCCGGCCCGGGCCTTGCTGAGGAGCACAGGGGAGTCCAGCTCTCTCACCCCCCCTCCATGGGACCCAGGCCTCCTCTCTCCTCTGCATCGTTCTTTTCGCTCCCTCGTTCTTAGAAGGACCTCAGGATGCCCCCCAAGGGGTCCCCAGCTCTATTCATTGCTGCTCCCCACTCCACTCTCCACCCTGGAGTCAGGGTCACTCTCTTAAACGGAAACATCAGCTTTTCCACGGTTTCCATGGCCCCTGGGAGAGAAAAGTTCCAGTCCCAGCGTGGGGTCTGCCAGCCCCGGGGCACCTGGGCCCTCCCCTCGCACCTCTCCTCCGACTGGCTTTCTGCCACCCTCTGGGGCCCGCACAGCCTTCCCTCCCCACCCCGAGGACTGAGCCCGCTGCTTCCTCAGAATTCCTGACATACCAGATCAGATTCCCTGTTAAACTCTCAGCACGCACACCTTTTCTCTGCAGTAAGCCTGCGTCTCCATGTCCCGAGGGGCCCCTGACCCAGGCGGGCCCTGGGGTGGTCCTGAGTCTGAATTTGGGACCACCGATCGCTGGGTGGACACAGCCTGGCCTTGAAGGTAGATGATAACACGGGAATGTGTCCGTCAGGGCCTGGGAGCAGAGGTGTCCTGGAAGCTCAGGGGTGTGGGCAGGGCGTGAGGGGGCATTCCAGCATTTTCCAAGGACGTGTTGACCCAGTCGTTGTGGATCTAACCAAGTGGTGGGCTCTGGGGAGAGACCAAAAGAGCAAACCGACCTGCCCCAGAGCAGGATCCGGTAACTCCAACCTCCAGTCCACAGGGCCAGGCCCCGGCCCTCCTGCTGCTCCAGGCCTGGGCGAGCAGACCGGCTGGAACGGGGAGGATGGGGCTAAATTAGGCTTTTCCTTTTGCTTCGGGATTTGGCCCCAACAGTGTAAGAACCACCCTCCGCACTTGCGTCAACCTTTAAGAAGGAAAAAGTAATAACAATAACAATAACAATAATAATAATAATACAGATAACACTTGGAAGAGGGCCTGTGTCAGCCATGATTGCAGTGATGGCGAGGCTAGCACCTCCCGGTGGGGGAAGAAAGGGTGGAGGAGAAGGAAGTGGTTCTCAGAAAACATGGCGCGAAAATGAAGGTGAGCACAGGGTGCCGAGGCCCACGCCCGCGCCTTCCTGCAGGGCCAGCCCAGCCGCAGGGTGCTGAGCGGGGTGGGAGGGCAGCGCCCAGTCCGGGGGTCACTCGGTCCCTCCCTCGTTATCAAACATAAAACCGGGGCGGGGAGGCCCGCGCGGGGGAGCGGCGCCCGCAGTCCTGCCAGACGGGGCTCAGCCTGGCCTTGGGGGCCCCGAAGGCCGCCTCCAGCCTCCCCCCACCCCGCCGCTCAGGGGCCCGGGGCCAAGCATCCGCAGCCCAGGCCGGGCAGGTAGCAACGGGACGGTCGCGCGGGCTGCGAACTACACTCCCCAGCATGCAACGGGCCAAGCGCGGCCACGCCCCCTCCCGGCCGCGCCTCGCAGGGAGCTGCTGGGACTTTTCATTGACCTCGGTAGCGTTCGGATCCGCTCGGGTCTCGCCGAGGCCCCGCCCCCTCCGGTGGGGACGTGACCCCGCCGGGTCCCGCGAGCTGCGCCCTTCGCCCCCTCTCGGTGGTCCAGCCCGCCTGCCTGTCTGGGGCCGGGGGGCGGGGCTGCTCGCTGATTGGTGGGTCCGTTTGGCGCCAACTAGGAAAGGGGGCGGGGCGGGCGGCGCGGGTCTCCCGGAGCAGCTATTAGCGCGAAAGGGCTCGGCGCCGCGCAGTCCACGAGCGAGGCGGCAGCCGGCGCGGCCACTGGGCTCCGCGGGCGAGGGCCGGGGCGACGCGCAGGCAGCTGGGCCCGGGCCGCGGCCTCTCCGTCCGGCCGCCTCCCTCGCCGCCGCCGCGTTTGTTTGGATTTAACCTCCGGGCGCCGCCGCCCGCCGGCCTCGCGGGGCGAGCGGGAAGCACCCGTGCGTGTGGGTGGCGCCTGCCGGGCCGGACGCCCGCCCGCCCGCCCGCCCGCCCGCCGTCCGCGCCTCCTCCGCGGCCGCCGCGGCCCGGACCGCGGGGCCGTGTTTGTGTTTGAGCCGCGGCACCGGCCCCGGCGGGCGCGCGGCCCAGTCAGCGCGGCGGGGCGGGCGGGCCGCGGAGGCAGAGGAGCCGGGGCGCCGCCATGGAACTGGGCCCGGAGCCCCCGCACCGCCGCCGCCTGCTCTTCGCCTGCAGCCCCCCGGCCGCGCCGCCGCCCGTCGTGAAGGCGCTCTTCGGCGGCGAGGCCGCCGGCGGCCTGTCGCCTGTCACCACCCTGACGGCCACCATGGGCCAGCTGCAGGGCCTGGGCAGGTGAGGAGGCGCGGGCCCGGGGAGGGCCGGGCCTGTCCCCCCGGGGGCTCCCCTGGGCACCCCGCGGGCGGGATGCTGGGGCGGGAGGCCGCCGTCGGGCCTGAGCCGGCCCGGCAGGGTGCGGGGCGGCCTGGCCCCCGACCTTCGCTGCCCTTGCCTTTCGGGTTGCCCCCTCCCCCCCGCCCGCTTCTGCCCTGGCCCCAGGAGGCTGTTTGGACCCCCCACCCCACGCCGGGACCCCCTGGGCACAGACAGGCCCCCCGAGGCCCCACTTGCATCCTTGGCCCCACTACCCTGCAGGATCCTCGTTTCCTTCCCAACAAAGGAACGTGGCGCTTTCTCTCCTGAGTGTTTTGTGCTTTTTTGTGTGCAAAACCCTGGGGATCCCTGCTCCCTGCACATTCCCGATGACCACCCGCATGCGTGCCTACAGCCGGGCCTTTTTACCCAACTTCCTGTACGCAGAATCCTCTGGGCTTCTCCGAGGAGAAAGAAAAATTTAAAAAAGCATCCCACCGTGTTTGCTGGAAGCTGTTCTCCCTACAACCTTGGACCTGGCGCTTCCTAAGGAAGCACGTGTCCTGTAGCTTGTTTTCCTGTGTGTGTGGCTGCTCCGAGCTCAGTGCCTGCAGGACACACTCCAGCCCTCACCGAGTCCCCCTGTCCAGCACCGCCCCCTCCCCATCCTTCCTGGGGGGGGGGGTGCTGGGCCCTGAGTTGTGCTGCGTGAGGCAGCGATGCCCTCATGGCCGAGAAACACGGATTCTCTCCTTGGTTTCAGTGTGGGCGAGCAGCCACAGGAGGCCAAGAACGGCAGTCTTCAGAGGATGGGCTCCTCAGAGTCAACAGATTCAGGTACTCTGTCCTCACCGCTGGTTCATCCTGGGTGCCAGCCACTTGTCCACATTCAGTGGTTGCTTCCCCTGCCCCGGGATCCGACCCAGCAGCCACTGAATGCCTAGAGAAGTGGAGCAACACACCCATCTCTCGCTCTCTAACATAGATAAATAATAAATCCGCACCCACGGTTACCTGCAGAGGCAGGCTGCTGATCTGGGCCGTGCAGGGCAGTGGTTCCACCTGCCCCCTCTGGTGGGCGGGTACCTCTCTTGGTGGTGACTTGCTGAAGGCAATAAATGCCTGACTGTCCTATGACACAGTCATATTTCCAGAACCCCCGAGTTAAGCATGGGGATCTGACAAGATAAGGTATTTGAAATAAAAACTATGCCAGACATTGGTGCTGGAATGTTCTCTCTGGGGGCTGGAACTCACAGAAAGTTACTGGGTAACTTTCTCAATAACCACAAAGAGATGAGAGGGTTCGGGCTAATTCACACCCTCCTCAAATGCCATCTTCCTTGATGGGATTTGCAAATAGGCCAGGGGACTGGCAGATATACCATGAAAATGTGATGTTTCTGACAGTCATACTAGTTGGCATAAAGTCCAGGCCATCTTTGTGGAGTGGTCTAAAGAAACAGGACTAGGGAGTCTTATTTTTCAGACAGATATATTTTATTGGCTTCTTTTTTACAGAGAGGAAGGAAGAGAGATAGTTAGAAACATCAATGAGAGAGAAGCATCGATCAGCTGCCTCCTGCACACCTCCTGGGGATGTGCCCGAAACCAAGGTACATGCCCTTGGCCGGTATCGAACCTGGGACCTTTCAGTTCGCAGGCTGACGCTCTATCCACTGAGCCAAACCTGTTAGAGCTAGGGAGTCTTATTTTAAAGACAAAATGGTGTTTTGTGTACTTGTGCCTAAAAGATGCATTCTTTTTTCCCACAGGCTTCTGTCTGGATTCTCCTGGGCCTTTGGACAGTAAAGAAAAGTATGTATTCGCTGCTTTTAGATGTTAGTGCTTAGAAAAAAATTCCCTTAATTTTTTTTATGAAATTGGTCATACTCTGGATTTAGCTGTCCCTAGTAAGACTCCTCCTAGGTCCTATCAACAGTCTGATATCTTACCATTATTATTATTACTACTATTGTTTTTTAAATGCTCACCCAATGCCCTGGTGGGGATAGCTCAGTTGGTTAGAGCATTTTCCCAATACACCAAGGTCGCTGGGTTCAATCCCGGGTCATGGCGAAGCAACCAATGAATGCATAAGTAAGTGGAACAACAAACCAATCTCTTTCTAAAATAAGTAAATAAATAATCAATAAGTCATTACCCAAGGAAATGTCCTTAGAGAGGAAAGGAGGGGAAGAGAGAGAAAGAACCATGGATGTGAAAGCGAAACATCCCTTGGTTGCTTCCTGTATGTGGCCAATCCAGGAAATCTATTGCCTTGACCGGGAATTCGACCCTTGACCTTTTTGGTGTGTGGGCAATGCTCCAACCAACTGAGCCACCCTGCCAGGGCAACAGTCTGATTTTTTATTTGTTAATATTTTTTATTGATTTCAGAGAGAAACATCAGTGATGAGAGAACCCCACATTGGGGATCGAGCCCAAAACCTGGGCATGTGCCTTTGACCAGAATCGGACCCAGGACCCTTCGGTCCACAGTCCTGATATGCCAGACTCTTTGCTTTATTCTCATGATTTACCTTCTGGTTTCATTGCAGCCTTGAAAAGTCCATGAGGAGAATAAACTCCCTGCCTGTAAGTCAGTCCTCTAATATGTTTCCAACTAATCTGTGTCTCCCCCCCCAAGCTGCCAGGAATGCTCCTAATCCCTGACATGGATTTAGACAATGGAGTCTTCTTTTCCTTAGTTTCAAAAGCATTCAGACATTCCTAGAAGCTACCATATTTTTCGGACCATAAGACACACTTTTTTCCCCCCAGAAGTGGGGGGAAAAAGTCCCTGCGTCTTATGGTCCAAATATAGCCTACACATATATTTTTAAAAAAAAAAAGTTTTTTTACTTGCCCGGCTCTGTGTGGTCTCTGTGTGCTTGCCCGGCTCTAAAATGGTTCTAAATGCTGCTGTTTACTTTACAGGGTTGATTACATGTGTTTATGATGTTGGGTTTTAATGCACATAAAATATTTTAGGACACTATTTGTTTCAGAATCTTTTTTTCTTCATTTCCCTTCTCTAAAAACTGGTGCGTCTTATGGTCCGGAGCGTTTTATGGTCCGAAAAATACGGTACTTCAAATCTGCCTCTTTTTCCTCCACCTCTAATTATTAGCTTTAGGAACCAGGAGGGGTTCTTTTGTGTAAGCGATGTTATCAGGAAGGGGTGATTCCTCAACCCCAAGTCCCTGCTGAGGGCTGTAGGCCTGTGGGGAGTGCGTGTGAGGCCACCTTCCTGCAGTGAGGGCGGGTGCCCGGCATCTCTTGTCTTTGGGGAACTGAGTTGCCATTGCCTTTTCGTCTATGGTCCCAACCTCCCTTCTTCCCTTTGGCAGCCGAAGCTCCTGGGATGTAGCCCAGCTCTGAAGAGGAGCCATTCGGAGTCTCTGGACCGCGGTGTCTTCCAGCTGATGGACCCGGAGGAGAATAAGGAAAACGTGAGTGCTGCTCCGTGGACTAACCTGTGTTTATGACTAACCCGAAGCAGAGCCCCAGGGCAGGGGCGTGGGGCCGGCCAGCCGGGCGCTTCCAGGGAGAAGGCGCTTGGGGGGGGGTGTGTGTGCATCCTGCTGGGAGCTCTGCCCTCGGCCAGTGTTTCTTCCGCTAGGTTTTTGTCTGAGCAGGAGCAGCGGGGTCCTGTAGGGCTGTTGTGGGAACTCGGGGAGAGGACACAAGCCGTTCACCTGGTTCAGGAAAGCAGGCCTTGCCCTGCCGGGAGCTCTCAGGGGTCCTTACATCCATGCAGGAGTGCGGCCAAGTCCCAGGGAGTGTCAGTCACTGAAGCGGCAGCTGAGAGGCTGAGCTGTGCTTGCCGTGGGAAGTCAGGCTTCTTGTGTATCTCCCATCTCCTCTCCCCTCTTTCCCTGCTAAACTGCCGGTCCATCCTCCTCACAACCTGACAGGCTCTGGGAGACCTCTGCTTCCACAAGCTCCCTGATGCCTGGGCAGCTGTGAGGGACCCGGAGAGGATGAGTTCCTGCCTTCAGTGCCCCAGGCTGCGGCCTCGGCAGTGGCTTCTACCTGGGCCAGGCCTGGTGTCCCGGTCCCCCTCTCCCTCCCAGCCTTGGCTTCTCCTGGGGTGGCCTGCTTGGAGCCTCCTTCTAGAAGGAAACAGCATAGGGTAGAGGTGTCCTGGCCGTCGGTGAAGCCAGATTCCAGGCACATCACCGCCTGTGAGGTCTCTGGTGGACGGGGATGGACGATCGGGTTGTGGGTGATGGTTGATGGCTGATGAGCTGGTGCCCAGACAGCACTTGGTCCAGTCCTGGCACCGGAGCCTCTGGTGTTAGCTGTCTCTGCCCTGAGCACGGGCACAGCTGTTCGGTGGGCACCTTAGGAACGAACGGGGTTCTGAGTGCTTTAGAGGAGCAGTAAAAGGAACCACACTGTGTGCTCACCACTTCTGGCCTTTCCCTCAGCCGTTTGTGAGGTTTGCCGTTTGGTTCCCCCCGTGGCTTTTAGTGCGGAATACAATGATTTCACTTTTTATTTTTAAATGCCTTTTTATTGATTTTAGAGGGAGAAACATGGTTCAGCTGCCCTCTGCATGCCCCCTACTGGGAGCAAGCCAACCCAGGCCTGTGCCCCAACTGGGAATCGAGCCCTCTGTCCGGCTTGGTGCGGGGTGCAGTGATGTTACGCGGGGAAGTGTGTCTGGGAGGAAGAAGGTGGGAAGGTGAAGCTCTCAGATGTGCGTGAAAAGCTTGGCTCCCGCCTACAGGGTGTGACTTGGCTTAGATTTAAAACTGTGGACTCGCCTGTAAGACAGTGTTTGTGGACTCGGCAGTGAGTGCTTGTAGGGAACTCAGCCTGGTGAGGAGACGCCTGTGTCAGAGGTCGGTTGTCGCAGCCTTTGGAATGACCAGGCGCAGGGACCGGTGTTGGCGTCGGGTCGGAGGCGGTACGGACGGGACCAGGCCCACTCCCGTCCGTCTCCCCTGAGGTGTCGAGGAGGCCTAGCTGGTGCCCTAGGCCGTGGGAGATGTCTCCACTGTACTGTCTTGCAGGAAGCCTTTGAGTTTAAGAAGCCAGTCAGACCCGCATCTCGAGGCTGCCTGCGCCATGAGGAGGGGAGCGGCCTCTTCCCCCGGAGGCAGAGTTCGGCCCCAGCCCGGATGGTACGTGCTCTGGCTCCTCGGCTCCTCGGCGTTTCTCCCTGAAGAGAACTCCAGCGCGGGGGCTGGAGCGGAGGCCCGCAGTGGCGCTGGTGTCTTCACGGACCCTGTCTTTGGAGCGAGTCGGTCCCATTTGTTGGTGGTTTTGCTGTGTCTGGAGAGGAGAGGGCGGAAGCTGAGTGAGAGACGGTCTGTTTGAAATATTGGACTTGAGCACAGGATGTTGGACCCGGTCGGTTCTGGGACGATCACGTGCAGGCCTCCTGGTCATTCTCCGCGGGTTCCACGTCTCACGTGAAACCTGCTCTTCCCCAGAGCGTCCTGGTGCTGAGGCGCTGACTGTTTGCAGGAGGATCTGAGCTCCTCAGAGGCACCGAGGAAGAGCTGTGGGTCTCAGGGAACCACCCCTGGGCTGCTGGGTGGTGAGGCCACTGGCCCAGGGCACCCATTTGCCGGACAGACTGTCCTCACTTGGAGCTTTTCTCCGGTGATCTGAGCGCAGTGACTAGAGGGGCCCAGCAGGGACAGGATCACGTTTGGTTCCTGGTTTTGCTGGGAGCGTGCTTCTGAAATGCAGCTCTCCCGACCAGCTTGTGGTCTAGGACTGTCAGCCAGTTGCTATGTCTAGCATTAGCACAAAGCATTTTTAAAACGTTTTTATTGATTTGAGAGAGAGACATTGATTGGCTGCCTCCTTCACGGCCCTGACTGGGGATCGAGCCCTCAACCCGGACCTGTGCCCTGACTGGGAATCTCTCAACTGTCCCCCGGGCCAGGGCAGCACAGAGCACTGTTAGGTTCTGTTTGTTCTGTCATATACGAGAAGGTTTGTTGGAAATTACAGAGGTGGTAGGAGGGAGCCAGCTGGGCTGCGGAGGCCCAGAAAACAAGTTACAGAGCAGAAGGCCCGGAGCTTCGTGCGTATGTGCACGCCTGCTCGAGGCCAGCATTTCCTGTCATCACCTGGCTGCCCTTATTGCAGCCACTGTGAACAGGACAGGCCGTGCTGATCCCATGGGGTGGGTTTCGCCCGTGTCAGAGGGCGTTTGTCCTGTCCTTTCCGTCTGCCAGCACGGTGTCTCGTGTGGTGTGAGATGGTGGAGGAAGGTGATCTGTCCAGAGGTTTGTGTGTCATTTTCTGTAGCTTCTGCACCTGGGGAGTCAGGAACCGAGGTCACAAACTGGTGTTCTGCCCGGTGTGAGCATCGGAGGGTGTTGTCCCTGGTTGCTGCCACCCTGCGTTCTGGGGGTGCCCAGCGCACCTGTGACCAGAGAGCGCAGATCTTGTTCCTGTGGAGAAGCAAAGGGAGGGCCAGGACGGCAGCTGCCGCAGAGGATGCTGGGAGCGGTCTGCCCGGGCCACTGAGGATCACATACTCAGGCCCCAAAGGGGTGGGGGTCTTGGCGCTGCTTGCAGGGCTGACGTGGGGACCACCTGCTCCTGTGGAGGGAAGTATGGCTGAGTGCCTTCCTGGCTTCGGAAAGCACGGAGAAGTAGAGTGTCCGCGACGCTTGCCGAGTGGCTAAACTTTCCTGGGTCTGGCACATGGGTTGCCTGTGAGATGCCGTGTTCACTCTGAGAGGTCTCTCCTGGGAGGGCGAGGTGGGAACAGGTGAGCCTGTGACCTTTAACCTGCACGAGCATTGCTCTCCTGGTCTGTGAAGTGAGAGGGAGGCTCGCCCAGAGCGCTGGGGATGTGCCGGTGCCGGTGCCGGTGCCGGTGGAGGTGAGGCTTCCCGTGGAACCGGCCTTGTGAGCACTCGCTGGGCCACTGCCTCCCGGCCCATGGCCCTCTGCCCCCGCCCTCCCGGTGCTGTGCCCACTGGTACGGCCGCTGGTAGGCCCTGTCTTCCAAAGGCCATCGGGTCCTGCTGTCGGGGGATTGCTTCGGGGAGGGGTCTTTGTGAAGGCTGCTTGGCCTCACACCCCTTAGTGCTGGATGTGGACATGGAACCATTATTCTTTCTTTTCTTTTCTTTTTTTTTTTTTAAATATATTTTATTGATTTTTCACAGAGAGGAAAAGAGAGGGATAGGGAGTTAGAAACGTCGATGAGAGAGAATAATCGACCAGCTGCCTCTTGCACACCCTCTACAGAGGATGTGCCCGCAACCAAGGTACATGCCCTTGACCGGAATCGATCCCGGGACCTTCCAGTCTGCAGGCCGACGCTCCATCCACTGAGCCAAACCGGTGCTGGCAGAACCATTATTCTTTCAAATGTTTTTATTGATTTCAGAGAAGAAGGGAGAGAGAGAAAGGAACATCAATGATGAGAGAGAATCATTGGTCAGCTGCCTCCTGCACACCCCCTACTAGGGATCGAAACTGCCACCCAGGCCTGTGCCCAAACAGAAATTGAACCTGGGACCCTTCAGTCCACAGGCCAATGCTCTATCCACTGAGCCAAACCAGCCAGGGTGATGTCAGATTTATAACCTGGGGTTCATATTCCTGTGATGAGTAGTGCTAACATTTTACTTAAATATACTGTTTCTCATAACGAATGACCCGTCTGAGGAGGTCAGAGCTGACCACTCATTAACAGGCTGGCTTCTGTCTTGTAGCTTTCCTCCAGCGAAAGAGAGAGCAGCGAGCCAGGGGCCTTTGCTCCCCTCTTTCTGCCCCCGTCGCCCGTGGCTGCCGCTCTGTCTGATGAGGATGATGGCTTCATGGACCTTCTGGACGGAGAGAGTCTGAAGGTACAGACGGTGCTTTCTGTCCGTTCCTACCTGCCCCGAGAGCCCGGTGAGCAGTGGTGGGGAAGAAAAGGTCCAGGATGCCCAGGGCTGGAACTAGCTGGTGTCTGTCTATCCGGTGAGGACTTGCTTTGTGTCCTTCCCGTCTGCCTCCACGATCTCACACCGCACCTCCTCCTGGGTGGACTGGAGGCTGTGTGCAGATGACTGAACTGAAATGTGAGCCTCTCTACATGTGGGAGTGGGGGGAAGAACACTAGATGGCAGTTAGGCAGAGTCACGCCAGCATTTAAACCAGTGCTCCTCTCTGCGCCTTTGTCACATTCTTTAGAATGACGAGGAGACCTCCTCCTGCATGGCAAGCCTCTGGACGGCCCCCCTGGTCATGAGAAGACCTGCAAATGTGGTGAGTGGGTCTGGGGGAGGGGCATTGGGCCTCTGACAGGATGCACTGAGCAAACAGGAAGTGAACCCTCTGCTCACATCACCACAGGAATCAAAAATGGCTTCGTTTGAGACTCAGTTTTGGGGTCTCTGGGCCTTGACTGGTCACTGGCTTTCTCGTGTTAATGCGCTCTGCCTTTTATTTCCCTTCAAGTGTTTTGGCCTCATTAATGTGTGAGACAGTGTCAGTAATGTGTGTGCTTATAGTTCTTGTTTTTATAATTTCTTGTGCATCCTGACCATTCTTGGTCAGCTAACACCCTTTCTGTACAACCCTGACCTCTGTGAATTCCTGGTTAAGATCGCTGGCTGACATCTGAAAATCAGTTGTTCTTAGAGACATATAGTGGTATTGGCTTGGATTTTAATGGAAAGCTTTCTGAGTGAGTCCCGTGTCAGCAGCAAGAATAGAAAGACTCCAGCAGACACCTGCACCCACTCGCCCGGCATGAGCCGCAGCTGCAGCTGCTTCTCCTCGGAGAGCCTGGCCCAGCCTCGCTCTCCTTCATCAGGGCAGAGAGGCCTGCCGGGCTGCACGTGCTTTCCTGTCCACGGAACGTGGAAAGATGGTAGCACGTGTGGGGCACACAGGAGAACATGGGCGATGGCGGGCTGACGGGTGAAGAGTTCAGAGGGCTTCATGGGAAGAGGAGCTGAGGCTTGGACAGTCAGGGTGCCTCCCGGGTTGTGAGGGAGGCTGGTGGTCACCAGGAAGGAGTGCTGGAGGGGGACCAAGATCGGCTGAGGTCCTCTCAGCGACTGACCGGTGGCCCTCGGCACCAGCGGTGGGTGCAGGTGGAGTGGGTGTGGCCTGCGGAGCAGCACCCACGGCAGAGGCCCTGTTAGCCTCACAGCAGCTTTCCCCGGAGCACCGAGGAGCCGGCCCTCGGGCACTCAGGGTCGATGCTGCCTTCTGTCCCCAGGTCTCTTGGACCTTTTATTTTTAATTCTCATCCAAGGAGGGAAGATATGTTTCCATTGACTTACAGAGTGAGAAGGAGGGAGGCGGGAGAAATACTGATGTGAGAGACACGGCGATTGGCTGCCTCCCACATGCAGGGATCGAGCCTGAGACGCTCTGGTGTGCAGGCTGCTGCTCTAACCACTGAGCAGCAGCCAGAGCTCCTGGACTGGGTGTCCAGGCTTTTCAACATTTGCACAAAAAGTCTGCCCAGCATCTGGAACACGGTTTCTCTCTCTTTGTAAAAGATTGTTTGCTTGTAGGTACCCCCGGAGTTGGTTAGGACAGTGGGGAGCCTGAGGTGCTGAGAGCAGGGCCTGTGGGCCTGGGGATAACGGGTTTTATGTCTTTTCCCAAAGGGCAACCGCTGCAAGCCGCTGGACTGCACCCCTGCGGGCAGCCCCGCCCTGCGCTCCGCGCTGAAAAGGCCCGACTCCTCGCGAGAGCTGTCCCCGCCAGGAAACACGAAGCGGAGGAGGAGCGCGCTCAGGGCCAGTCCCGGGGCGGCCGCCAGCCCCGACAAGGCCCGGGAGGTGGGTGTTGCAGGGAGAGCGGCCTGTGTTTTCGGTTCTAAAATTCCCGCTTGCCTCCTCATTCACTCAAGAGTTTGGTAACCGTTTGGATGATGGCTGCTTTCAAATCTTTCTCACGCTCCCAGCATCTGCCTGGGTGTTGGCTTCTGTTGGTGTCTTTTCCTATTCAGGTTGAGGTTTTCCTGGCTCTTGCTCTGACCGTGATTTTTCAGTTGCATCTGCGTGTTTTGGGTGTTTAGCAGGTCTGACTGCGGGGAAGGCGGGACTGAAGTTCAGGTGGAAGTCACTGCCCCACTCGGCCTCTGGCATGTATGGGGCGGAGGAGTGGACTTCCGCTCCCTGCTGGCCTCACGCTGCCCCGGGGAGTAAGATGGGGCCACTTCCTCACAGCGAGGCAGGTACAGCTCCAAGCTGTTGTGGATCCTCACCGAGGATACTTCTCCACTGGTTTTTAAGAGAGTGGAGGGGAGAGGGAGAGACACATGGATGGGTTGCCTCCTTCAGGCACCCTTGACCGGAATCAAACCAGGACCCTTCAGTCTGCGGGCTGACATTCTGTCCCGAGTCAAACTGACTGGGGCTCGTCCTTTTGACCGCCTGCCCACCTGTGGACCAGTGACCGTCTCAGGGCCCTGGCTCTGGGCAGTGAGGCCTCTGCGCCTCTGCCTCCCTCACTGTTTCCTCCACGAGTTAAAGCCTGGGGAGGGCTTGCACCCCGCTGGGAGCACTCCGTCTCAGCTGTTTATATACGATGGCCTATGGACTTCCTGGTTTGTTTTTTTTTTTTTTTTTTAAATTTATTTATTTATTTATTTTACATATTTTAATGATTTTTTTTTTGCCCCCCTCCCTCCCTCCCCCATATCCCCTCCCTCCCCATAGTTTTATGTCCATTAGATCAACCGAAGGACTTGTATACATGCATATAAGTACAACCAATGGACTTCCTGGTTTTGAAGCTATTTTTCCTCCTGAGATGTCGTGTTTGGCTTACTTCCGGTTGCTTTTGTGTATACAGTTCCTGCACTGCGCTGTCCACGTCAGTCAGCTTTGGTGTTGGCATTAGGCAGTGACCTGGGAAAGGGCCTTGTGTTCTGTGGTGTGGGAAGGTTTGAGCAAACGGCCGCCCTGAAAGACAGACCGCAGGCAGGGAAGCATCTAGGCCTGATGCCTTGTAGTTGACAATCATTCTAGGTGCTGACACTAGGAAAGTTTGTTTTTTCTAATTAAAAGCGGAATTCCAGGTTAAAGGGCAAGAACGTTTGTGAAACTTTGTGTTGTGTACATGTCAGCAAACCGCCTCTGTTTTTTGAATCTGGATCTAAGGAAGTTGGTTGAGAGGCCTCTTATCTAGACCCAACCTTCCTATTATTCCTGCTCGGGGGAGGGGCCAGGAAAACAGTTTCAGGGAAATTCAGTTAGATTCAGTCCAACAGGAAAAATGTTCATTTGCTGAGTGTGAACAGTTTAGTCTGTGACGTGTTCCAGGGGAGTGTTCTGGAAGCCCTGCCTCGGACCCTGGCTCACCCCCCCTCCGATGTGTTACAGCTTCTCCATCTGCCTCCCGCCCTGGTGTCGCCCCCAAAGGGGACCATTGAGAACATTTTGGATAACGACCCGAGGGACCTCATCGGAGACTTCTCCAAGGTAACGCAGCCGCTGGCTGTGACGCAGGGCGGATGGGTTTACCCCCCCCCCCCCCCCCCGGCGGCTCCTGGGTGTCCCCACGGGACACAGCTTGAAGTTTTTAAGGCCTGTGGGACGGCAGGCCTCACTGGTGCTGCTCAGTCTAAGCAGGAAGCCCTTCTCCCACCCCAGGCAGACTTACTGTAAAGGCAGGAATGCAGAGATCTGCAGCTTCACCGATCTGTGTCAGGGTTTCAGAAGGTCCAGGGGTAAAACCAAGTTCTCACCTGGACATGTGCCCTGACCAGGAACGGAGCCGTGGCCTCTTGGTTCCTAAGTCGATGCCCAGCCCCTCTCCGTGCTGGCCGGGCTGGCAGTGTTTCACAGCTGCCCTCCCGCAGGAGCACGGCGTCTGCGTGCTGAGTGTCTCTCTCTCTAGGGCTATCTCTTTCACACCGTCGCCGGGAAGCACCAGGACCTCAAGTACATCTCTCCGGAAATTGTAAGCCCTGCTTCCGAACGGCCTCGTGAGCTGTGTGATGCTCATTATTTCCAGCAGCCAATGCTGATTCTCCTGGCCTTTCTCTCCTCAGATGGCGTCTGTTTTGAATGGCAAGTTTGCCAACCTCATTAAAGAGTTCGTGATCATTGACTGCCGGTACCCGTACGAATACGAGGGCGGCCACATCAAGGTAAGGGTTCCTGAGGCCAGTGAGCCTGCTGTTATGGGCGGCACCTGTGGCTGACGGGGGACGGACCCCTGGCTGCCTGGGAGCTCACAGGCTGGTCCTGGTCTGCATGGCTGCCACTCCTGCACCGCATGTCCAGGCGGTGCCCACCGCTCCGAGCCAGGCCGCAGACCCGGGCCTGGCCCAGGGCTCCGTTAGGCTGCCTGGCGGGAAGGGGTGTTGGGACACACTTTCCCGGAAGGAGGTAGCTGCTTGTGTGTTTCAGTCTTGTAACCAATAAAGTAATGTTGAAATGGGTGTGGGTGCTTTAAAAACGTCGTGTTTGTCACTGCCCGTGGCTTTTGAAAGTCCCGAATTCACAGGTAGCAGTCAGGAAGTGCTCGCGGTCACAGCGTACTGAGGCGCCCGGGTAAGAGCCTGTGTGGCATCGTCCCGCCAGCGGGAGGCGGTGCTGAGCCTGTGTCTCCGCAGGGCGCCGTGAACCTGCACATGGAGGACGAGGTGGAGGACTTCCTGCTCAAGAAGCCCATCTGCCCCACGGACGGCAAGCGCGTCATCGTGGTGTTCCACTGCGAGTTCTCCTCCGAGCGGGGCCCCCGCATGTGAGTGCGGGCGCCGGGGGGGTGCTGAGCGGGCACCGGGCACCGGGCGGGGTTGTGAGAGCACAGATCCCTGCCCCGCGGTAGGTGTTCCCCGGAGTGCTTCCCCGCTGAGCAGCCCCTCGGTGCCGAAGCCGCTTCCTGGCTGAGCGAGTGGGCGGGCCTGGCCTCTGCCGGCACCCACTCCCAGTGAGCCCTGCCACTGCGGTGTGGCTCACTGCCCAGCTTTCTTCCCACGGAGGTCAGCCCGCCGTCCGTCCTTCCTCCCGGGGCCTGTCCCAGTGACACCTGAGGTGCAGGGGCGGCTCTTTGCCGCCCGCCAGGAAAGCATGGCGTCCTCGCTCTGGAAGCAGTCTCCAGACCGTGCGTGCGAAGGGGCGGGTGTGTTCGCTCGTTATTGCCCCGTTGGGACGGGCGAAGTGCCCGCACACCCCTCGTCAGCACACACTCTGCCGGGCTCTGGTGTCCGAGGCCCTTTGTTACCAAAGCATCTCTTTTGGGAAGTAGGTGGGAGTGGGTACAGGAGCGGCTCTTCTGAGGTGTGCATTGCTATCGGCCTCCCTCGCTAACGGAGCAGTGCTGGGCCCTGCCGCTCTGCTGGGAGCGCTGACCTGCGCCTTCTCCCTTGCAGGTGCCGCTACGTGAGAGAGCGGGATCGGCTCAGCAACGAGTACCCCAAGCTCCACTACCCGGAGCTGTACATCCTGAAGGGCGGGTACAAGGAGTTCTTCCTCAGGTGCCAGGTGAGTGGGCTCGGAGCATGGCGGCCCCTTGCCAGGCGGACGGAGGGATCTGCCTGTGGTCACGCTGCTCTATGGTGTCTGGGGATTTGCCCGGCCAAGAGGGGCCTTAAACCCACTGGCCAGCTGCACTGCTGCCTAGTCTCCGGGCCCCCAGAAGGAGGGAGGGAGGGAGGGAAGGAGCAGGGTGAGGGGAGACAGGTGCACCTGACCTTGTTGCCCTGTCCCCTAGTCTCACTGCGAGCCCCCCAGCTACCGGCCCATGCACCACGAGGACTTCAAAGAAGACCTGAAGAAGTTCCGCACCAAGAGCCGCACCTGGGCCGGGGAGAAGAGCAAGAGGGAGATGTACAGCCGCCTCAAGAAGCTCTGACGGCGCCTCGGACAGCCGCGGCCGCGCCTGCTCCGTCCCCTCCCCTTTTCGCTGCGGAGAAACGAGCACAGGAGCCACGAGGGCAGTTTGAAGAAGCTGAGCTTCCTCCTGCACCTCCCTCCATGCCACACACCGAGGATGGAGCCAGAGCACCCCGGCTGCGCCTTCTCCGTCCCTGCACCAGGCGTCCCCGCCCGGCTCTCCTCTCGGTCCCACAGCCGGAGGGGCACCGGGCACTGGACCCCTCGTGAGGGGAGGGGAGGGAGTGAAGACACGGAAGCGCTGCTGGCACACTCCAAAGACAGCTGGAAGGGATAACCCACGTCTTAATTTATTCAACCTCATCAATCACTTTATTGCTACTTTTAACTCCTGGAGACTTATTTAACTGCTTCTTTGAGTCACAATACTGCCATTTTATCATCCCAAGACTACCTCTGCTTTTAATTAAGAAAGAAAAGGAGGGGAAGAAGAGGCGGCCTGAGTGCGGGGCAGAACTCGCTCTGTCACCAGGAGGCGCTGCGTTCCCGGCTGCTGCTACTTCAAGCCAAAGACAGATGCGGGGGGAGCGGCACTGGACTCGGCCTTGGCGATGGGAAGCTCAACCTCCGGGCCACATGGCTACATGGGTGCCCTGCCCTCCCCCGTTCCCGGGGCGCCTGGTCTGGGCCGATGAGCAAAGCACTTCAGGCAGCCTCCGCGGCACCCTGGTTCGAGGGGAGCACGGTAGCGAGAGGATCCCAAAGGGGCGGGGGCTCTGGGCGGGGAGTGTGTACTGAGTGTCTTCCTCCCACACTCCGGTAGCTTTGGATTCTCTAGAAAGGCATTTTGTGCGCCCAGGAGCATCCAATCAGTGTTAGCGGCCCCGGGTGGCCGCGGGCTGGGAGCCTGCATTGGGGGGGGGGTGCTGGCGTGCGATGACAGATGGTTCTCAGGCGGTACGGTGGGTTGGAAGGTGAAACTCCGGGTTTATCATGTTTTCCCTGAGGGCAGGGAGTGGTGGCCACGTCGCCAGTTGCCTCCTCGTCCGGCCCCAGGAATGGGGGTCTCCAAGGAGCACCCCTCCTTGGAGCTGAGCCGACCAGAGGATTCTGGACGCCGGTTCAGCTCCTGCTGGTCCCCCCTCAGACGCCAGCCCCGACCATCTCTGCTCCCTCGGGGTGCAGCCAGGTTTCTTGTGCACGAGTCAGCCCCCCTTCCTCGCTGCCTATTGGGGTGGGAGGGAACCAGTGATGCTGGTGTGTTCGTGGGTTTGAGTTGCATTTGACTATAAAACAATCTTGTTAGAAAAGTGATGTGGGAGCAGGAGGGGACCCCCACTCGGTCTCTGTCTGTTCGTGGGGATTCTGTTGGTTGAATGCTGGGAGGAGGTGGTGGCCTCCAGGTTTGCGGTGCAGTGAGCACTGCCAACCAGCCATCACAGCTCTGAAATAAAACCAGTCTTGAACCCATGCTCGGCTTCGTGGGTTTTTACTGAATCGATTCAAAGGGGATGGTTTGCCCTTAAGGTTTGGGAACTCCACGGGATAAGACCAGTGCTGGGCAGCCACAGGGCTCTCTGGTTAGGCCCCGCCTCCAAAAACCCAGCCTGACGAACAGGGACGGCCGCCCGCAGGCGCGCCCCGAGACAGTTCCTGTGGAGGAGGCAGCAGCCAGAGGGCCCTGAAGAAGTGGGTCTTGACCTTTCTTTTGTTGACTAGAGGCCTGAGGCCTGAGAATTCAGGCCCTGGAGGGGGTCTCTCAGTGGTCGGAAGGCCACACCCCATCTCACCTCTGCTGCTGCTGCTGCCACTGCCAGCAGCACAAGCCTCGAGACAGCCACACACGGGCACCCCGGCAGTGCTGAGGGGATTGGGCTGCCATCTTTGAGGGTGGGCAGTTGAATAGCATGCTCCTTATTGGCTGTGCCACCATCTTGAGGGTGGGGCAGGCAATTAGCATATTCCCTCCTTATTTGTTGTGGATGCAACAGCACGAGGGTCAATTGGCATATTCTCCCTATTAGATAGACGAGGCGCTGTTTCACTGTTTTCCATGTCCATCTCCACGGAAAAGGAAACATTCCTGAGTGGGGGAGCTGGGGATTAAGAAATTAAAGAGATCAGGAGGCAGAAATAGATTCATCAAGCTGGGAGCCAGGTGGGCACCATTCTTCCTCTGATGGAGAGGCAGCGAGCAGCAGGTTTATTTTATAGGGTCAATGGAACTTACTTGCATTCTTAACTAGGCCCTAGCATTACTGGATTTATATACCTAGGCCCGCCCCTGCTGACACCTGGACAAAGGTAGGTAAAGGCTGTCCATGTGCCTTCTCAGGCGGCTCTACAGGACAGTGTTACAGGTCTCTCTCCTGTTTACCCCCGGAGTTTTGACTTCTGCAAGGACCAGCAAGGATACAGAGTGAACTAGACAGATGGTAGTCATGGGTCCCCATGTGATGCTGATGGGGATGATTGCCAAGATGGATAAACGCTGGAGCAAGTTACAAAATAGTGATGCCTGCCCGGGATGGAAAAGAACTATTAAAACAAAACACCTTTTTAAATCTTACATGGATGTAGCAAGTGCTGAAATCTAAGCTATTTCACCCAGCTTGCCCAAGACAGTGTGCTCCCTTCTGATTTGTAGGGATAATAGGATAATAGGAGCATTCCATCCTTAAACCATGTAACATGTAAGGAAAGGAAGTCCCTGCAGTACCAACCAGTCTCCAGTGAGTGTCGCTATGTCAGGAAGACAGGAGAGAACAAGGCCACAGAGGACCACGGGGCACTGCCCTCCCCTGCCCCCCATTTCCCCTCCCAGAGGGTTTTCTAACCTAAAGGGACACAGCATGGCTGACCGTCCCACCCTGCTCTCCATCTCCTTCTTGCCACTAAATTCGAAAGTGCAGAGCCTGGTATAGAGATGACTTTGACATAACCATTTGGCCATCCCAGTCGGTAGCTCAGTTGGTCAGACCATGGCCCTGTGTGCCAAGGTTGTGGGTTTGATCCCTGGTCAGGGCACATTCAAGAGTCAACCAATGGCCAAAACCTGTGTGGCTCAGTGGATAGAGCGTCGGTCTGCGGACTGAAAGGTCCCAGGTTCGATTCCGGTCAAGGGCACAGACTTTGGTTGTAGGTTCTAGCTCTGGTTGGGGCGAATGCAGGAGGCACCCATTTGATGTGTTTCTCTCACATCGATGTTTGTCTCTCCCTCTAAAAATCAATGGAAAAATATCCTTGGGTGAAGATTAACAAAATAAAACAGTTTTAATTAATTTAATCACGTACACTCTGTCTCATGGTGGAAACAGCCACTATCTACTTAGGATTAATATCTGTACATAATTAGAAGCACATATAAGATTTTAATGTATATAAACATGCTGCTTAAATCTGTTGTGCAAGTGTCTCTGATTTCTGCAAGATCACTGCTTTTTTTAACCACAGAACGCCAAGCCTTGTGGACGAGAAAGCGGTGCTGTGCTCACACATTGCCAAGCGGGCAGGTCGTGGTGGAGGTCAGGCCCCGGCCTGCAGTGTCCCCGGGGAAACTCTGAGCAAGCCCGGCGTTGTTCTCACTCACCGCAGTGAACAGCCTTGGAAATGCTTGGAGACCTCGGGCAGGCAGAGCACATAATCTTAACATTCCTGTAACCCCGCGACTTCCAACCTTTCTCATCGAATGGCACACATAAACTAATTACTACAATTCTTCAGCACAGCAAAAATATATTTTTAACATATTTTTTAATATATTTTATTGATTTTTTACAGAGAGAAAGGGAGAGAGAGAGCTAGAAATGTCGATGAGAGAGAAACATCGACCAGCTGCCTCTTGCACACCCCCTACTGGGGATGAGCCCGCAACCAATGTACATGCCTTTGACCGGAATCAAACCTGGGACCTTTCAGTCCGCAGACCAACGCTCTACCACTGAGCCAAACCGGCTTCGGATATTTTTAACATATTTTTAAAATTGATTTCTGAGAGGAAGGGAGAGGGCGAGAAACATCAATGACGAGGGGATGAGGGAATCAAATTGTTTAAACTTAAACTTCTTCTAATATGTGGCTCAAGAGCCATCGTTTGCCGACCACTGCCCTAGCCGGTTTGGCTCCATGGATTGAGTGTAGGCCTGTGTAGCAATGAAGGGTCCGGGGTTTGATTCCCTGGTCTGGGCTCCATCCCCAGTAGGGGTGTGCAGGAGGCAGCCAATCAGTGATTCTCATCCTTGGTGTTTCTCTCCCTCTCTGAAAAATAATAAATAAATTAAAATATACATATAAATATCTAAATAAAAGGACAGTATTCCTTAGTGCAGCGTTTTTCAACCGCTGTTCCGCGGCACACTAGTGTGCCGCGAGATGTTGCCTGGTGTGCCGTAGGTGCAGACAAGACAAGAATTTTATAACTTTTCACTATTTTGTTTACTTAATATTTCATAATAAAGTAATTATAAAATACTTTCTTTGTGTTTATTTGATTCCTATTCAAGAGAATTACTTTATATATAGTCAATATAGGCACAGTTAAATTTTTTAACATTTTCTTTTTTTTTTTTTTTTTTTTTTTTTTATTGATTTTGTACAGAGAGGAAGAGAGAGATAGAGAGTTAGAAACATCGATGAGAGAGAGTCATCGATCAGCTGCCTCTTGCACACCCCCTACTGGGGATATGCCCGCAACCAAGGTACATGCCCCTGACCGGAATCGAACCCGGGACCCTTCAGTCCCCAAGCCGACGCTCTATCCATTGAGCCAAACCGGTCTCGGCAAAATTTTTTAACATTTTCTAATGGTGGTGTGCCTCGTGATTTTTTCCATGAAACAAGTGTGCCTTTGCCCAAAAAAGGTTGAAAAACACTGCCTTAGTGCACCAACTGTTGAAACTCATTCTTTCATTTAAAAAATTAATGACTCTTGAGGAGATCCAAGATGGCTACGCCCAGGTGAACACCTAGCCGCAGCCGCACACAATTTCAATAAAATACAACTAAAATATGAAACAGACATTGCCCAGAACTACAGGAAGGTTGCCTGACTGGAAATTCTACAGCGAGAAGCAAGGAGAAAACCAGAAGGAGGCGCGGAGGAGCTGGAAAAGCCCAAGGTACGGAGACACGGCGCGCGGAGAGGACGGAGCCAGAGAGGAGGGAGGCCGAGTGCCTGGCGGGCGTTCCCTAGCGGAAAGGAGACAAAATTCCGACTGTGCTGGGCCCCCGACTGCTCTGAACCCCCGACTGCTCTGAACCCCAGTTCTAGGCCAGACCCCGGGGACTCAGGCTCAGCCATAGGGAGCCGGGCTGTAAGGCGGAACCCCGGGGAGAGGCGAAAGGAGGTCCCCGAGGCGCGCACACTGCGCGCAGAGAAGGGACGGTCGGCTGTGCCGCGGGATTGCCCTGACGGGAAGGAGACAGGGGCTCCAGACTGCTGTGAACGCCACCTCCAACTCCACTTCCAACTGAACTGAACCCCAATACCGGGCTCATTGTGGGAGAGCATAGACCGTTTGGCAGCAGGCGAAAATCGAGGGCACCTTTCTCTCAGAGGCCCTGGCAGTGAGCACTGAAGGACCCACATAGGGCAGGGCTGACGGAAGCCAAAGCTGCAGGCTCCACCCTGAAACCCCGTCCCATCTGTAACTGCGAAATGCGACAACAAAATAGATCACAAACGAAAGAAATGGAGGACAGCCAAAACCGGTTTGGCTCAGTGGTAGAGTGTCGGTCTTCGGACTGAAAGTTCCCAGGTTCGATTCCGGTCAAGGGCATGTACCTGGTTTGCGGGCACATCCCCAGTAGGGGGTGTGCAAGAGGCAGCTGGTCGATGTTTCTCTCTCTCTCATTGACGTTTCTAACTATCTCTCTCCCTTCCTCTCTGTACAAAATCAATAAAATATATTTTTTTAAAAAAATAAGGTTTTTCAAGAATTTTCTAGAAAAGATGGATAAGGCCTATGAGGATATGAAAAGAGATCAACTAGAATTAATAAGGAGTCAACAAGAAATGATAAGGGATCAACAAAAAATAAAGAATACATTGTCTGAAATAAAAAATATTTTACAGAGTCCTAAAAACAGAAGGGAAGATCGCAAGAATCAAGTCAAAGATTTGGAATATAAAGAGCCAGAAGACACTCCTCCACAGAAGCTAGAAGGCAAGAGAATCCAGAAAATTGAAGATAATGTAAGAAACCTCTGGGACAACTTCAAGCGAACCAACATCAGAATTATGGGGGTCCCAGAAGATGAGAGAGAGCAAGATATCGAAAACATACTGAAAGAAATAGTGACAGAAAACTTCCCCCACCTGGTGAAAGAATTACAAGTCCAGGAAGCGCACAGAACTCCAAACAAAAGGAATCCAAAGAGGACCACACCGAGACACGTCAATATTAAAATTCCAAGAGCAAAAGACAAAGAATATTAAAAGCAGCAAGAGCAAAGAAGGTAGTTACCTATA